CGTGCCAGCCCAGGGAACTCAAGGCCACCCAGGGTCAGCAAAGGGACCCTAGCACCTTCCAAACACAGCCCTGACCCCCCACCTGCACCCCATCACACACACCCTCCGCTCCCCCAGCCGGGGCCTGCAGGCTTCGGAGGATTCCGCAGATGCAGAGGCAGACTCAGGGCCTTGGCCTGACTGCCACGCCCGCATCCATCACCCGCACCTGCGGACCGCCCAGTCCCCACGCCACGCGCTCTCCAGAGGCCGCCACGCGTGGATGAATGGGGTGCGACTCTGAAGGCCTGCAGCACCCCCCCCACACACTGTGGCCTTTGTGTGCAGCTTTGTTGACTGCCATTAAAACTCCGGGAGCCTGGGAGGGGCCTTGGAGGGCAGAGCTGGCCTGAGGGGAGGGCTGCTGGGGTGAGCCGAGCCTGGGCTGGGCCCTGGGGCACCCCAACGTCACCCAGGAGGGTTCCACTCAAGTGATCATGGGTGTTTACCAAGCCTTGATCCCAGGCAGGCACTCGTCCCTGGCTCCCTCCTGTGGATGGCAGACCCCTGGCCTCTCCTGCCACAGCAAACCAACACCAATGCCGGCCTGCCTGCCCACCTTCCCTCCTTCCCTCCTTCTTTCCTTCCCTTCTTCCCTTCCTCCCTCCCTTCCTTCCTTCCTCCTTCCTTCCTTCCTTCCTCCCTCCCTTCCTTCCTCCTTCCTTCCTTCCTCCCTTCCCCCATCTTCCCTTCCCTCTTTCCTTCCTTCCCTTCCTTCCTCCCTCCTTCCTTTTTCCCTTCCTCCCCTTCCTCCCTCCTTCCTTCCTCCCTTCCTCCCTTCCTTCTCTCCTTCCTTCCTTCCTTCTTTCCCCCCTCCCTTCCCTCCTTCTCTTCCCTCCCTCCTTCCCTTCCTTCCCTTCCTTCCTCCCTCCTTCCTTCTTCCCTTCCTCTCCTTCCTTCCTCCCTCCTTCCTTCTTCCCTCCCTTCCCTCCTTCCTTCTCTCCTTCTTCCCTCCCTCCCTCTCTTCCTTCCTTCCTTCCTTTCTTCCTCCCTCCCTTCCCCCTCCCTCCCTTCCCTCCTTCCCTTCCCTCCCTCCTTCCCTTCCTTCCTTTCCTTCCTCCCTCCTTCCTTCTTCCCTTCCTCTCCTTCCTTCCTCCCTCCTTCCTTTTTCCCTCCCTTCCTTCCCTTCCCTCCATTCCCTCCCTCCCTTCTTCCCTCCCTCCCTCCCTCTCTCCCTTCCTTCCGTCCTTCCGTCCTTCCTTCCTTCCCTCCTTCCCTCCTTCTTTTTGTCCTGCAGTTTGGACTCAGGGTTCTGCACTTGTGAGACAAGTGCTCTACGACTTGAGCCTTCCACTCTTTTCTCCCACTGTGTGGCTTTTTGCTGTCCTTGTGTTTCAGACACCGTCTTGACTTCATGTCCAGGCCAGCCGGGACCATGAACCCCCTGTTTATGCCTCTGGGTATCTGGAGTGACAGGTTCATACCAGCAAACCCAGCTTTCTCTTGATTGAGATGGGACTTTGTGCATTTTTTGTGCAGGCAGGACTTGAATCATGATCCTCCCAATCTGTCTCCCAAGTAGCTAAGATTACAGTACGTTCAGTACTTCTGATGCAGACTTGGGAATCCGCATCCAGCCCTTTGCTCCGCCCAGCCTGCCCCAGGTCTTCGAGTGGTGCTCTCCCCAGCCTCCGTGGTGCCTCCTTGCCTGCCTCCTCCAGACTCCTCTGACTGTGTCCAGTTCACTCTGGCTCCCCAGCTGGCCAGCAAGCTCCCCTGCATCCACCCTTCATTCCCAGAGCCCCATTCAGCCTTCAGCAGGGAGAACCACTGGGCAGGAGGAGAGCTCCAATGGCCTCCACCCTTCCGAATCCATTCCCTTCCAAAGCCGGGCCAGGTCTTTCTTCCATCTTTCCCAGCACTGTTCACCCCTGCCCCATCCCAAAGCCAGGCTAGCACTGAGCAGGGAGCCCAGAGAGGCTGAGCCTCCCACCTGCTGTCTGAGCCTCGGTCCCACACCAGCAGGGACAGTGTGCTGGCCCAGGAGGGCTGTGCGAACCAGATGCACACTGAATGGACCCATGGGGACATTTTCAGGAACCCCGGGAGGGTTTACCATCTAGCCGCTTCATTCACCCACATGTGAACTGACCACATTCCCTGTCTGTCTGTCTGTCTGTCTGCTGCTGTCTGTCTGCTGCTGTCTGTCTGTCTGTCTGTCTTTTTTTTGTCTGCCTAGTGGACTTTTCCATCCAACACCAGGCACCAGAAAATCTGGCTGAACCTTGCACCTTCCATGTACCCCTACATCTCAGGTGTTTTTACCCCAGTCAACATTTGGCCCTGTCTGGGAACACCTTTAACCCCACAACTGGAAGGGAGAATGTGTTGGCCATTCTGTGGGGATTCAGGCTGCAGGGATGGCCATCAGCAACCTACGGGGCCCACCCACCTGAGCCTCCTCCAGAGCCCCACTGTCAGTCGCCCTTAGATGGCAGCGCTGCCTTAGCTGAGTGAACTGTCAGAGGTGAGCTGTGGCTTGACGCTGCCCCCATGTCTGCGGGGCCCAGGTCTCTCCCCAGGCCACTCTGGGGGAATAAGAACCAGAGAAGACTTCTAAGTTGGTAAAGAGCGAAAAGGTGGCATGTCAGCCACCGCAGGGGAAAGCCAGGGGCAGCCAGGTGGTTGCGCATGCGTCTCGGGGAGCCGGTCTGAAGAAGGCCTGCCTTGGGAGTTGTCAGCACCAAGTCCCCCCAGCGCTGAGACAGGAAAGGGACACTTTTGTTTCCAGGCTTACTGGGAAGGGTGGAGCCAAAATACCCCCCTACCCCCCTACCCATGCACATAAAAACAGTGCACATCCACAAGATCACACCGGCCAGGAGACGGCCCTGCCCTTCCCAGGAGCCCTGCTGTGGCTGGGGGAGGGCTTATTTGTTTAGTGGAGATGCTCAAATAAAGCCTCTGCCTGTTGCAGCAAGTAAGACTGGAGGTGGGATTGTACTCCATCTTTTCCAACACCGGATTTCTCTCTCGGACAGTGTTTGAACAGATGCCTGGGGCGGTGCCTGGCACAGCAGAAGCTGCAGTGGGCTTGGGCCTGGGACCGGATCCTGGGGTCCCTGCACACCCCGTGGCTGCCCACGTGTGCCGACGACTCCACGTGGACAGAGATGTTGGCTTCCTTCTCATTTTGTGCTCCACGGGCTCCTATGCTCCTTTGCCTTGAGACAGATGGATTATGTAGGTCACGATCCTTGTCAGTTGCAGGAAAATGATAAACCCAGTACAAGCACCCTAGCCACAAAGACTACCCAGTATTTATGTCGGCCCACAAGAGTTCCAGAAGTTGGAAATTCTAGTTGCTGCGGTGGAGTTGGATGGGGTCGTATGTGGCTCTTATTTTGCCTACATCTTTAATCTTCCAAGGTTAGCTTTTTTTATCCTGATGTCACCTCGTGGTGAGAGATGTCTTGATAATGACACTCCTGTCTCAAAGATCGAGAAAGGAAGAATGAGACATATCTTAGATGGCCTCTGTAGCCTCAAATGAAGGGAGGTGCCTAGAAAGTGCCAGAAAAACTGGAACAAGTGGCTTGCCTTAGAGCTGTCTTGTTTGGTTTTTGCCAGTACCAGGGCTTGAACTCGGAACTTCACACTGCGCTTCATCTTCGCTTGCTTGGCTGCTGCTCTACCACTTGGTCCATCCGGAACAGCGAGGATTACAAGCATGAGCCACCTCTGCCTGGCTCTGATGGCTATCTTTCTTTTCTGGGAAGGTCATCTTCCCAAGAGGCTCCAGCATGCTCTTTTTTTGTGTGTCTTTTGGACAAAAAGTAGGCCCTTGGCCTGCTTCAGGGTAGTCATTGGTTCCGGAGTTCGAGGCTTGGGGGCTCCAGGCAGCAGGGATGTCTGGGGTGTCTTCCGGGATGGAGCATTGGGCAGAGCCTCCAAGGCGACCAGAACTAGGGGATGGCAGGAGGGAGGAGGAAGGAAGCTGAGCCTCTTTGCAAAGCAGGGTCATTTCCGCTTCCTTCCGCTGCAGAAGGGGCTCCATGTACAGGCGCTTGCCTCCCCCAGGTCGGCCTCTCTCAGTTTCCCCGGAGCTCCGGGAGACAGTCACTTCATTTTGCTGCAACGAATCTCAGTTTCATCAGTAAGGCACTGGGAAAGCTGTGGAGGGCATCAGATACCTGTGTGCTGGGGCTGGGGCTTGAACTCAGGGCCCGGGCACTGTCCCTGAGCTTTCTCACTCTACCACTTGAGTTACACAGCGTCACTTCTGGATTGGGGGTAGGTAAGTGATTATAAGAGTCTCAGACTTTTTCCTGCCTTGGGCTGGCTTTGAGCCTCAACCCTCCGTAGCTAGGATTACAGGCATGAACCACTGGTGCCCAGCTCATGCACATCTTTTTAGAAGGGACTAAGGTGGATGTCTTGAGACCCTGAATATTTCTCAGGAGAGGTCACTGTTATAAAAGAGCCGGAATAGCCCCCCTCCAGCCTCTCTGGCTTCCACCAAATTGCTCCTTGGTTTCACAAACACTATCAACCAACTACAGTGATGCAAAGGCAAACCTATGGGGTCATCCAGTCTTGGACTTTCAGCCTCCAAACTTGTGAGCTAAACCAATCTACTTGTAAATTATCTAGCCTCTGGTATTTTGTGATAGCAATGGAAAATGGACTAGTATACAGCCTTGACCAAGTTCACCACTTAGAAAATCAGGTGCCATAGTAAAGCGATAGCTGTTTCAAGTCTGTGGGAGCAGCTGGTTACATAGATAACTGGAAAAGTGCCACTACTGTTATTGGCCATTGACTACTATTGGCCATTACTATTGGCTCTGACGATCATTCAGGGGATGTGAAGCCCGCCCCGTGGGAGTCTTCCACAAACCATCTGCAATAGGCCAACTTCGGGGAAACAGCAGAAACTTGCCTGGGAAGTCTCACTCCAGGATTTCTCCTCCAGGCTAATTGATAATCTGATCGGCTCGAATCTGGCCCTGAAGAGTCTATCAAATTGTGTCTGATCGACACCACCAAGCTGCATTGGTAAAAACTTGGCACACTTCAAAGCCACACCAAATGCCAATGCCAAGCACGGCTCCCTTTTTGAGTAAAAATACATAAACTCTACATTCCTGGCTTTCGATCTGGCACAGAAGGAGCTTGGGTTAGCTGACTTCTGTGAAGAACCAGCCAAGGGAGAAACGTGCTGATGCGATCGACCTGTTCTGGTAAATGGAATCGTGTCATTTCTTTTCACCAATATTTATGAGCCACAAGCCCCAAACTGTAGCTTGCTGGAGTGCAACACGGTAAGCCTCTCTCTGCAAAACACCTTCTCCTTGTTATTCAAATAGGAAGTTGGTCTTGCAGCGTTGGCAGCCTCTGTCAGCCCGGCTTTCTTAACTGCCACATAGAAAGTTCTGACCACATCCCACCTTCTCAATAACGTGGCTTGCTCTGGCTCATACAGATTTTTGACAGCTCCCTGAGGCTTTGTGACAGACACCTTCGGCACTGGCGTCACGCGATTTGTACCGTCAGGGCTACATTATTTTTCTTTATTAGTGTTTCCAGCTGAGAACAAGACAGTGTGACAGAGCCACACCAAAGAGAGCTTGTTTTTCTTTTTAATTAATGTTTTCAGAGACCCAACATTTCTTTATTTTGGGGAGGGGGGGTCCAGTCATGAGGCTTGAACTCTGGGCCTGGGCGCTGTCCCTCAGCTCTTCAGCTCAAGGCTAGCGCTCTACCACTTGAGCCACAGCACCACTTCTGGCTTTTTTCTTTTTGCTTACGTGGTGCTGAGGAATCGAACCCAGGGCCTCAGGCATGCAAGGCAAGCGCTCTACCACTGAGCCACCTTCCCAGCCCGACCCAACATTTCTTATAAGCCTTCACTCATGAACCAGCGTGTGTCCCTGGTCAGTCAATTAAAGGGGACTCAGTACGTTCTTCAGTGTGTTCCGGGCTTAGATTCTTCTAGCATACATGCTGGGTTCAAGCCCAGCATCCTCCAAATGAATTTTACTTGGATTGACCTAGGTCACAGCTTTTGGAGGAAAGCATGAGTTAATGAATTAAAAAGCATTCACCACATTTTATCTGCAGAACGCCAAGGTGGTGGTCACTTCCATCGTTTCCCTACTGTGAGCACCATGAACTGATGAGCACGCAACTGTCACCTCTTGTAATGCCAGTTCTAAGTTCCTCCAATTTGGGAAGGCTGATGAAAAGATGCCAGCATGCTGGGTGCTGGTGGCTCACGCCTGTAATCCTAGCTTCTCGGAAGGCTGAGATCTGAGGATCACAGCTCAAAGCCAGCCCAGGCAGGAAAGTCTGTGAGACTTTAACCAATTAATCACCAGAAAACTGGAAGTGGTGCTATGGGCTCAAGTGGTAGAGCTCAAGGACAGTGTCCAGGCCCTGAGTTCAAGCTACCTTTGGGGTTTTCTAGACGCCAACAGTCCGAGTCCCAGAGGAATGGAACTGGTCTCTGACAAGGTTAAAAACAACAGAGGTAAACTGGGTATGTGTGTTTTGTTTTGTTGTGCTTTTGTGTGGCTTGAACTCAGGGCCTGGGTGCTGTGCCTGAGCTCTTTTGCTTAAGGCTATCAGTCTACCACTTGAGCCACAGCTCTACTTCTTACTGTTTTGGTGCTTAACTGGTAATAAGTATCTCATAGACTTCCTGCCCAGGCTGGCTTTGAACTGTGATCCTCAGATCTCAGCCTCCTGAATAGCTAGGATTACAGGCGTGAGCACTGGTACTCATAGGGTAGGTATGTTTGAACCCTTCATCCGCTTCCTTGTCTTCCTCCTCCTCCTTTTTACTTCCTTCTTCCTCCTCCTCTTCCTTCTTCTTCTCCTTCTTTTCTTCTTCTTTGCCAATCCTGGGGTTTGAATTCTGGTCCTGGGTTTTGTCCCTGGGCTTTTTGCTCAAGGCTAATGCTTTACCACTTGATCCACAGTACCACTTCTAGCTTTTTCTGAGTAGTTTATTGGAGATAAGAGTCTCATAGAGTTTCCTGCCTGGGCTGGCTTTGAACCGTGATCCTCAGACCTCAGCCTCTTGAGTAGTTAGGATGACAGGCGTGAGCCGCCAGCGCCCGGCTCTTTCCCTTCCTAAGACGTGCACAGACCGTTCTTTGGGAACTCTGCAGACACAGCCTCCCTCCCCACCCCTTCCTGCCCCAGCTGTCTGCAGAATGCCATGGCCTCTCAGAGCCTACCAGCAAGCCACAGCAAGGTTTTTCCAGATTTCACTTCAAGATCTCTATTATTTATTACACCTTGCCCCGTTCCAGAGAGGCTGAAGGCAGCTAACTTAAATATACAATCATGAAAGGGGGATTCAACTTCTTATTTAAACATATTCCCCTAAAACTAGGGGGGGTGGGAGGGGAAATGAAATCCTTATTAGAAAGTGACTTATTCAAGATGATTACTTTATTTTACAACAAACAGATGTTTCTAATAATTGAACACAATTACATTTCTGGCCAGAACTTTCCTTTTGATTTTTGATATTACAGCTCATATATATAGTGTTTTCATTCCTGCTGAATCACAAGGAAACCTGATGTCATCTTGTAAATTATACAGAAATAGTTCCATGGGCAGAGCTAGATGCCTGCCCTGACCCGCGCCATCAAGGGCCTTTCTAATACGATCTCCTCTCTGCAGTTCTCAGCGGGTGTTGTTTGTTTTTTGTGCATGTACTTGGGGCTTGAACTCAGGGCCTTGATGCTACTTAGTTGTTTGGGGTGGTATTTTTTTTTCCCTAAATGCTGGCACTTTACCATTTGAGCCACAGCTTCCTTCTAAGATTTTTGGTGAGTCACTGGAGATAAGGAATCTCCCAGACTTTTCTATCCCATCTGGCTTTGAACCTTGATCCTCAAATCTCAGCCTCCTGGGTTAGAATTACAGGCATGAGCCATCAGCACCCAGCCTGGTCTGTTTTTACATTTGATCTTTTTGTTTTTCTCTTAAACACTAAGGCACATGATTTTCCAATTTTTTCCTGCTGCTGATCACTTGAAATCCCATATTCCCCAAATGTATTGAAGTATTGGAATGTCAACCCTGTATTTTGACTTTATAAATTAAGCCCTGAGCCGTCTCTGCAAAGCAAAGGCGAATGAAGGCAGTCTCGGGTCTGGGTGTGGCTTTATCGGGACTTCAGGCTGTGGTGGCCAGGTCATTCTGTTACACTGGTCATCACTGCCCTTCCCAAATGCCTGGCCTCAGCTGGAAAACTCTGGAGAAAGGAGGAGGAGAGAAAAACTCTGCTTCCTCGCTGGGCGCTGAGGAGCTGTGGCCTCTGCTAACTTCTCTGGTTCCAGAGGAGAGGGTGAATCATGCACACCCTCCCCACTCACCCCCCCCCCCACCATCCAATGGGACAATGGGACAGAGCTTGCTGTCCCTTCTGCCCTTGCTACTCCAGATGCTTTCTTGAGAAAGGTGAGCAGCGACAGCCAGGGCCTGGAGCATGCAGGGGGCCACGGTTCTGATACCTGTCTTGCCCTGCCGGGGGAGGGGGGGGGGAGGGGCACCAGCGGCTCCTGGCCTGCCTGGGGGCATATGCTTCCAGTCATAAAGGACTTGGGGGGCAATGTGTGTGTTTGGGTTCCATGTGACCCTCTGTGTGTGGGGCAGGATGTGCCCCAAGCCTCCTGTTGACTGACTTCCCGTCCTGGCAAGACTGACAAGCCACCTTGGAGGGAGGGTGTGACTGGGGAGGGGCAGGTCCTGCCCCTCCAGCCCAGATCGCAGGGCAGGGGTCCAAGAGAGATGTGAAAAATCCCTACTGTGTGTCCCTAACTCAGAAACACACCAAGAGCAACTGAGGCACGGAGTGAGGAAGTGGCTTGCTTATGAGCTACAAACCAGCGGGTCCCAGAACTAGCACCAGCACAACATTGCTCAGCCTCAACGTGGTCTCTCAAGCCTACCCCCCACGGACAGCAATAGTGCATAGACTGGGAATCTGTATCACACCATATCTATGAGCCTCTCAAATGCCACTGAGATGAATGGCTCTCCCAGTCAGGGGATCTAGCTCAAGGCATCTCCAATTTCTTCTGACCACAAGCCCCGCAGAAGTGGGTGGAGAACAGCTGGCGGTGCCTTCCGGAACACACTTTGGGAAACACAGCGGGCTCGCAGCAGCTAATCTTGAAGTAGACTCTAATTTGCCCCAGGAATGTGAGGCTTCAGTTTTATGTTGCCTTCTTATAAATTCTTCACAGCTCCGAAATGGACACAGCTCTCCTTTCCAGAAAGTGCACATGACTTTGTAAAGGCCGTCATTAATTTTGATTATTCCCCCCCCATTTCCATTTCTTTTCAATCATAGCCAAAAAATGTAATAAATGTCATGAAACAGATATCCATAAAGCTGTTGCTAGATGAATCACGGAGGATCTGGAAAATGTTTGGCCTCTCTAACGCAAGCACCTCCTTTTTTTTTTTCTTTCTCCAGTAAAAACAACAAATATTTGCAGGTCATTTTTCAACAATGAAAGCGTTTTTAGAAAACAAAACCCGCGCTTTGGGGTGGAACGGCCACACACCACGCCCGTCTGTCCCCCCGTGTCCTGAGACACACGAGTGGCCTCTGCCTGTACACACGTCTACTCTGAAAGAGCCAGATCAGCCTAATGATTCCTTTCCCACAATGATTCTTTAGGCCTGTAACATATGTGGGAATTAAACTTTTATATGGCTTTGAATTCCTCCAAACTCCTCGAGAAATGAGACTCTATTCAAAGGGCTCACAAACAAAGCTGTGAAGTCTACTTCAGACCTCACTGACCAGAATCTTGTGAAGGGACATGGAGCCCAGGCCAGAGGACCACTCCCTTCTAGTCTCCTAGGTGGTGGCTCTGTACCCAGGCTCCTGGTCTCCCTAGAGAACTGAAGGCCACCAGCCCACTCCCCACGATGTCCCCCCAGGTCACTGAGCAGCCCCAAGGACAGACTCCATCCTAGGGACATCTTGGGTGGAACAGAGTTGTCCCTCATGTACAAGGAAAATAGGCTTCCAAGCTGGGCGCTGGTGTCATCCTAGCTACTCGGGAGGCTGAGATCTGAGGATCATGGTTTGAAGCCAGCCCAGGCAGGACAGTCCATGAGGTTCTTAACTCCAATAACCTACTCAAAAAAGTTGGAAGTGGCACTGTGGCTCAAGTGGTAGAGCACTAATCTTGTGGTAGAGCTCAGGGACAATGCCCAGGCCCAAAGTTCAAGCCCCAGGACCGCCCCCCCCCCTCCCCCCAGCCAAATAGGCTTTCAGTCTGGGATACAGCTCAGGGATACAGCATTTAGTTAGCAAGAGCAAGACACTGAGATCAGTCCTCAGCACGGGGAGAGGGAGAGGGAGAGGGAGAGAAGGAGAAAGGGGGAGGGGGGGAAGGAAAGGAAGGAAGGCAGGAAGGCAGGAAGGAAGGAAGAAAGGGAGGGAGGGAGGGAAGGAGGGAGGGAGGGAGGGAGGGAGGGAGGGAAAGGGGAGGAAAGGAGAGGAAAGGAGAGGAAAAGAAAGGAAAGGAAAGGAAAGGAAGAGAGAGAAGAAAAGAATGAAGAAAAGTCTGGATCCTGGACATGGAGCAAGATGCTGGCCCAGTCTTTGTGTCTCTATGGTCTTTCCACCTGATGCTGAAATAGATGAGCCGGTACAGTATAGGCGTGGTGACATCACTTGGACGTAGCCTCAGTTATATGTAAGCTATATGGTGTTTGTGTGCATGGACATAAGATTCTGTATACACAGGGCTCCGATGGCTCATGCCTGGAATCCCACCTATTCAGGAGGCTGGGACCTAGAGGATCCGGTTTCAAAGCCAACTTGGGCAGAAAAGCTCATGAATCTCTATTTCCATCTGGGCTGGAGGCATGGCACCAGTGGTAGACTGCCAGTCATGAGCAAGAAAACTGTACGACTCTGAGTTCAAAACCAGACCCTGAGTTCAAGCCCCATTACTGACTTATGGAATTGTAACCCCTTCGTACAACTACTTAATAATAATGCTTTCAAAAAAGAGCTCAAGGTCCTGAGTTCAAGCCCCAGTACTTATGTTCATTCTCTCTCTCTCTTTCCTTCTTAACACACACCTTTACATCACACACATTTATGGATTTTCATATTATTTCTATTATTGTTTCAGGAGGAGGCTGTGTGCCGTTTTTATTAGTAGCCCACACTAAATTTCTAGCCCATGCTCCCTTTTGCTCCAACACTAACTGGTCCACTCTTGCTTCCAGGCTGGAGGGAAGGAGAGAAGCAGGATGGAGAGCCAGATTCAGTCAGTCCTTCTCCAGCTACCTAGGCCTGCTAGGAAGCCTCTGTTCTGTGAGCTAAGGGGCTTAACGTTCCCACAGACCACACCCCCATGAGCCAGGGGACCCTCCCTAATAACTCAAGTTCATCTTCCAGGCCTTGGTGGTGAACAGGGAGCTATGTTTGGTGTAAGAGAATATAACCTTTAGTGAGCACCAGCATACACTTTCCTCAACCGGGCGGCCCTGACTCATTCCCAGAGCCAGGGGCCACAATGCCTGGTCCCCAGAGTCCCCCGGCCACAGCTCTGCTCCTGCTCTGATCTCTGCAGACGTCCTCCTCTGGGACTCTGCAGCCAGGCCACAGCTCCTGTTCTGTGCCGAGCACCTGCCCCTCTGTGCCTGAGCCAATGAGCCCCTGGCTGTCAGTGGCTAGCAGAACACTCCCGAATTGGCCTGCCATATTGTCGTTGATGACTACCTGCTTGGTCAGGGAAAGGGACTTCCTAACAGGACGCCTGGAGCGGCTTCTCTGCACCCAGGCCTGCACATGCTTGGTGTTTTTTAGCAATAAGGGCTGCAAAGCAGTGAACAGTGTGAGCTCAAGGAGTGTTCTTCTAACAGGGCAAGAAGCACATACTTGCTTTCTGAGGTGTTTCTGTTAGGCAGTGCGACACACGTGTGTATGCAGACTGCTCTATACTCTCAGGTAAGCCCGGCTTCCAACATTGAGCGGGCGTCTGCCACCTTAGCCTGTCATAGGATAGTGAACTCCCACTAATTAGGGTACACAGGCAATCATAAAGGTCCAGATATCCCAGAGACTTGGCCACAGAATAGTTCCTGTGCTACTGCATCCCTAAAGGAACACTGTTTGTTGCCAAAAGATGTCAGACAGACAGTCACCCTGCTGGCATCCCCTTGGACCAGCCTGTGATGCAAGCTTTTGAAGCATCACTGTGTGTGTGTGTGTGTGTGTGTGTGTGTGTATGTGTGTGTGTGTAGGGTCTGAGCAATGCAGGTTCTTGAGCAATGCTGTGGCTCAGAGCTCTCCCGCCATCTCCTAGCCTAGGCCCTGCAGGGGTTTCCAGTCCTAAATGGATCCATGACATCCAGGTCGAGGAAGGTGCCTCTCTGAACTCTATTACTTTGAGCAGAGAAGAGTTTTTTTGGGGGGAGGGGCCTGGTCATGGGGCCTGAACTCTGGGTCTGGACGCTGTCCCTCAGCTCTTCAGCTCAAGGCTAGCGCTCTACCACTTGAGCCACAGCGCCACTTCCAGCTCTTTTCTTTTTTGCTTATGTGGTGCTGAGGAATCGAACTCAGGGCCTCATGCATGCAAGGCAAGTGCTCTACCACTGAGCAACCTTCCCAGCCCACAGAGAAGAGTTATGTCTGTATGCTGCTCATGTTTACAATTATGCTCTTTGACCAAATTGAGATCATGACAAGAAGCAGCCAGTCTTCTGGGCGGGCAGGGTGAGCACATTTGTAATCAGGTAGCAGAGATCCACAGGTCAGAGTTCAAGGCCAATCCCATTTTACAATGAGCTGAGTGTGATGGTACAATCCTCTGAGGGAGGGACTGGTAGGAGGATTTTCATCAAAGTTGAGCCTTGTACAAAAATATAGGACCCTATCTGAAAAATAATGAATGTAAAAAGGGTTGGGGGTACTCCTGAAGGCATAGAGGGTCTGCTTAGCAAGCACAAGTCCCTGAGTTCAAACCCCAGTACCTTTTGCACCAAAAAATGAAATAAAAAGGATTGCCTCTGAGCGCACCAGTGATGAAGGTGCCTGGGGCCCAGACAGTGTTTGGTGCAGGCTCTGTGGCCAGACACAAGGAGAATTACAGGAGGATTTGGCCTGCTCAGCTTCCTGCTCATCCTGGCAGTCCTCTCACACTTAGGTTTTAGCCTCATCCACTACAACTAGCATGGCCTAGTTTCAGACTGCAGGATAAACGTGACCTGTCCATCTGCCCTTGATTCATGTCTCTTTGCACAATCTAGGCCCCGCACCTGTTGGGCATTGGGTGACTGTACTTTTGAATTCGTTTCCAGCCAAACAGGAGAGTCTGAGCTCCAGTACAGCTGCTGTCAGGAAGACACTTGTAACCATCTACTCAGATCTGCTGGAGTAGCAGCCACCTTATCAGGGAAGCTGGTATTGCTGGCAATCCCATTTCTGGGAGCAATGTGGAAGCTCTGTCTCTAATGCAACACTGGAGGGGGACTCTCCTAAGCTCCTCCACTTTCCTATCTTCCCATTTTCTCACTGCTGCTGCTGTGGCACACCAAAGCCTTTATGGTTTTTCAACTGGATGCTGTTGAGAAAGAATACAACTATCTTGAACACCTTTGACAAGAGAAAAGGCTCTGAGAGGCTTGAAAGGCCCTGCCCTGAGTTCAAGAGGAGTGAAGAAGGAGGAGTAAGCTGAGGAGGTTACTTTTCATCCTCTACTCTTTCCCTGATTCCTTGAATGTAGATAAATAGTATAAGCAGTATTAGGGAGAATGGGGAGACAATGAATATTCTTTCCAACATCCTCTGTCACATAAAACTCTTTCATCAGCCATGTGCCATCAGCTTACGCCTGTAATCCTAGCTTCTCAGGAAGCTGAAATTCTGAAGATTGCAATTCAGAGACAGCCTGGAGGATCAGAGATTGAAGCCAGCCTGGCGGAAGTCTTCAAATGCTGGACTGGAGACATGGCTCAAATGATAGAGTGCCACCCATGAGAAAATAAAAAACAAGCAAGAGCAAGAGGCCCTGAGTTCAAGCCCCCTGATACCAGCACAAAACACAACAAAAGAACAAATGTAGTAGGAACAACATATGGGCTACTATTCAAGACTTCCAAATGTTATCATTACTAGCAACAGATGTATGAACGTATTTTGCCTGATGGTATTTAGTTTACCAACTTCTAGCTGATTCAGTATAGATTATATAAAATAGACTTATAGGGACTACTATCAGCCACAAACGTTGAAGTTTTTGACAGCTCTGTTTCCTCAAAAAGGAAAAAGTTTTTCCTTTTCCCTGTGTCTCCTGGTAAATAATCCTTAAGACTTAAACATTTGTATTCTTATGATCGTATCAATATTTAACAGTATAATGATAACTTTTTTGCATATGAGGGAGGAATTTTGTTTTTTGAGATAGGATCTGACTATGTAGCCCAGGCTTTCCTATAACTCACCATCCTGCCTCAAGCCCCCTGAGTCTTGGGATTACAGGCATACACCACTGTACCAAGCTAAACAAATACCCAAAAGATCACTGATATAATCTGCTGTATAAGCCAAATGCATATGTAATCTCTTAGATGACAATACAGTAACTTGCTTTTCTGAAAATAAAATGTAATGAGATGGAAAAAAAGGATTGCTTCTGCTTTGGGACTGAAGTCATTATCAACAGCAGCACTTGTCACTCAAGGAGCCCAACAGAAGGTCTAGTATTAATTTAGGAAGAAAATGCCTTTGAAGTCACTATAGGAACTCCATTTTTCTAGTAAGGATATCAGCATCCCAGAAGCTGCTCAGAAGTTTAGAGTCAGCTCAGTCAACTCAGTGAGTGTCTCAACGGCAACACTGAGTTCCAAGGGCCGAGTGACTCCTCCCGGGCTAACTCTCCATTTGCTGTCCCTGTTTTCATGGGTGCATTAACCTAGTCCTATACACCTGTTCGGTGTGGAGTGTTTTGGAAAGAGAGTGTAAGTAAGAAAGGAGCAAGTATAATTAAGGAGAGAGTGTACCACTGCCATTTGGCAGGAGGTGACTTTGGTAAAAATGTAGACGTGCAAAATGTCATGTGTTACACCTTCATACAATTACTACACACTACAAGAAGAAAAGAGACAGGAAAGCCTTGTTGTAAGGAGTGGGTAGCAGCATGACAGGGAAGGGTTAGTTAAGAGTCTGAATATGGCTAAAGTAGGTTAGTCGCATACATGAGAATAGAATACTAAAGCCTGTTGAGATTGTTTTAAGAATGGGGAAGAGAGGAGAAGATAGAGGGGGTGAGATTGATGGTACATGGTATGCATGTATGGGAAAGTCATAATGAAAGTGTATGCCAATAAAAAGTCTTAATAAAGGGGCTGGGAAGATGGCTCAGTGGTAGAGCGCTTGCCTTGCATGCCTGAGGCCCTGGGTTCGATTCCTCAGCACCACATTAGCAAAATGAAAAAAGCCGGAAGTGGCGCTGTGGCTCAAGTGGTAGAGCTCTAGCCTTGAGCTGAAGAGCTGAGGGACAGCGCCCAGGCCCAGAGTTCAGGCCCCACAACCAGACCCAAAAAAAAAAAAAAAAAAGTCTTAATAAAGAGAAAAAAAAGCCAACACCAAAAGAAGAAAAAAGTAATAGCAGATACTGCTAGCTCCATAAACAAGGTTTGTTCTGCACATATGCAGAACTACTCACACCTTTAGGTCTGGAGACATTCCCAAACATGATGGTACTGTGGATGACAAAGTCTCTAAGACATTGGTAAATCCTAAAAACTCAGAGGAGTCCTGTGGGCTTCCAGTCACTGGGGCTCTGGGGGGTTGAGTAATGGGCAAGTCCACCACAGCTCTTGAAAGTGGCACCTTTGCCCACAGAGCTGGAATCGTGGAACAAGTTGTACTGTGCTTGGATGCTCACTTCTCTTTTCTTCAAGATATTTGTCTAAAAATTTCTAGTTAGAAACTACACATTGTCACTAATTAAAAAGAAGACAGAGGTGAAGTGTAGATCAGTTCTTGTCTAGCATGTGTGAGATACTGGGTCTAATCACAGCAGAGAGAGAAAGAGGGAGAGAGCGGGAGAGAGAGAGAAGGAAAGAAGTAAAGAAAGAAAAGGAGGAAGGAAGGGAGAAATAAAGAGAGAGGAAGGAAGGGAGGGAGGAAGGAAGGAAGGAAGGAAGGAAGGAAGGAAGGAAGGTGGGAAGGAAGGAAGGTGGGAGGGAAGGAAGGAGGGAGGGAGGAAGGGGAAAACTGTTCACCCACTAAGCAGTGTTTCAGAAATGATTCTTTCCCATGACACCATCCAACCTATTGTCAAGCACACAGAGGAACTGGAAAGACATAGAATTCTCACTCTTAGGATATTCCCAATTAAGAACATTAAGAACAGGAGGGGGCAGAGCTGGGAGCTTGGTCAATGGTCCTTGGTACAACAGGCTGAGTAGGTGTCTAGTCCTCTGGGGTCATGGGGTCCCATTACTCCTCTTGGCCTCCAATTCCTCATCTTTGTAGGTGGAGCAGGGAGGAGAGCAACTCCAGCCCTCCCTCTCCTACGGCCCAGGGCCGCCTCATGAAGCCAGACCTTCCTGCAGGAGCTGCCTTTGCCTCTCCTAGGAGAATACAGAAGGCATCCACCAGGGGGCATATGATTCTCTTCCAGTGATGGCCCTCAATCATGAGGGACACCTGAGGGGTCCCTAGTTTTCCATGCAGTCTTGGATGGATTCCAGATGTCGGGAGACATGATGTGCTCCCAATGCAAGGCTAGAGTTGTACCCCCTCGCCTCCACCCACTTCCAACTTCTGTGTGATCTAACCACACCTCTGAGCAGTCCCGAGTCTCTGGCATCCAGTGGTGTCCAGCCAGCTGTCTGGGACACATCTTTTCAGTATGTTCCAGCTGAAGGTCGAAACAGACAGACATGTGGAAGCTCTCTCTCTCTCTCTCTCTCTCTCTCTCTCTCTCTCTCTCTCTCTCTCTCTCTCTCTCATACACACACACACACGTTACCTGCAATGATGATCTTATTTGAGATCATGACAAGACGCAACTGGTCATCTGGGCGGGCAAGGTGAGCACACTTGTAATCTCAATTATTCAGGTAGCAGAGATCCACAGGTCAGGGTTCAAGGCCAATCCCATTTCACGATGAGCTGGGTGTGGGTTGTGGGTGGTCCAGTCCTCTGAAGAAGTGATAGGTAGGAGGATTTTCATCAAAGATGGTGATCTTATTTGAGACAGAGGTGTCACGTGTCATTTGTTGAGTTCATACTGAAAATGTGTGAGTTCCTAATCCCATGTGACTGATGGCCTTGTAAGGAAGGAGACACAGACACCCAGAGAGAGGCCATGTCACGGCGACACAGATGCTGGCAGGTGGGGCAGTGTCAGGTGCCCACATCTGGATTCACAACTTCGCCTCCAGTGTGCATGGCTTTGTCACGCTGCCCCAAGAAACCAATATGGTAAGAGGGTGAATTGGGGGCCTAAGAAGACGCCGTCCACTACGGCTTTGTAAAAGAGAAACTCACCAGAGTGTTTGCTTTCTGTTCTCATTAAATACTACTTGGCCCTTGCCCAAACTCAACATTAATAATTTGGAAGATGATTTCCAAATTTTCTGTGGGATATTAATTTGGGTCTCAGTCATCTGTCTCTATTTTCCTTCACCTTCCAAAGACTGAAAAAAGTCTTTAACCTGGCTGCTGGCTCCAAATTCTATTACATTTCTTTCTCTTCTTTCATGCTCAAAAATGTCGCTCTGAGCTGGGCACATTGTGTATCCTGTAACCCTAGCGACCTGGGAGGCAGGAAGTAGGAGGCTTGAAATGCCATGTCAGCCTGGGCAGAGAGTTAGTGCGACTCGGTATCAACAAACAAGCTGAGTGTGGCGGCTCACAGCTGTCATCCTAGAGGGAGAAAGGAGGCCTAGATAGAAGAACTGTGGTGACAGCTAGCTGGGGCAAAAAAAGTACAAGACCCTATCTAAAAAAGAACGTATGCAAACAGGGCTGGGGGTTGTGGCTCAAGTAGAAGAGCACTTGCCCAGCAAGTGCAAGGCCCTAAGTTCAAGACTCATTACACACACACACACACATTCTTACACTCCTCTCTGCTAGGTATTTTGAAACAATTGCTAATAATCACAATTACCCTACTTTCACATACTGTCCCTGCCAATAGCATCAACTAAGATGAGTGGCCGATTATGTGGAAATATGCCAAAGACACTGTCCAACCTCGAGACGAAGAGAGTCCAGGAATTGTCATTGTGTCTTCACTGCCTGGAAGGGCTCCAGGCCATGGAGCCAGAGCACGCAATGTCTGCCGCCTGCCCGCAAGGCCTCCTGGGCACAGCACACCACTCCAGGCATCCCATAAATGTCCGGATGTAGCTTGGCTTGGTACTTTGAGGTGACCATGAGAAAGAGCTATGTACCAAAGTAGGGGCTAAACCTAGGTTTTCCACAGGTTGACAGACACAGGCCGTGAGTTCCACAGGACTAGCTTGAACCATCTTCTCAGCTGCACGAACCATGCAAGAAATGTGATGCCTGCACCGCTTAGAGGGAGGCCTTGAAGAATCAGAGAACTCTGGTGCAGGGGTGTGGGGGTAGGCTAAAAAGAAAATAAATACACAAGTGTACCTCTTAAGCCCCATGAATCTGCAGGGATTTGTAACTGAGGAAAGCCCTGAAGTGAAACACAAATCAAAAAGTGACTGAGAGCCATAATCCAAATTCCTAAATAAGTTGTCTTTCCGGTAATGAAAAAAGAGTCGGACTGTAAATATAATATCTCTCTCCATTACTCCTGCTTTTCTTAAAATATTACAAAGCAAACAAATCCCGCATTCTAATCCATTAGCCACCAGTTCCATATCTAATCAACGTGAAGCCAAAAGCCACATGGGGAGGGCAAACATTAAAAAGAAAACAAGTCATTCTGAGATAAGCAAAACAGGAAATTGGAGGTAGACGATGAGAAAACTGATATGCAACCAATAATCTGAGCAATAAAGCCACTAAGCCCTTCCTGCACCATAAACAGCTTCCCGGGATGTGGGATGTGGGATGTGGGATGTGGGATGTGGGATGTGGGATGCGGCTGGCTTTCCTTCCCAGGCAATGGTGAGGGGACCGCCATGGTTCGCACAAATCATCCTCTCGCTCATTCGGGTCCCCCAGTCAACAGACTACAGGGGCTGCAGGCGCGCACTGCACCAGGCCCGGCCACCTGCTTGCCCTGAGCCCTGTGGGGTCCAGGCTGCCCCTAGGCTGTGGAGACAGAGCACAGATGTGTCCTTTTCCCAGTGTCTGCATCAGAGGCGAGTCTGTCTGTCCTGGGTGGGCTGTCAGCTGGCGCTGTGGGAGATCATGCGGTGCATGCTGTGCATGCTATGCACCGCATGACCAGCAACTGCGCCCCCCCGCAGGTTCTGCCCACCCAAGCCTGCAGCACCACTGCCACC